GGGCAAAATTTGAGGTCAAAATTATTTGTTTTAAGGTTTTTGGAAATACCCTGTCCCGAGTAAAAAATCCAGTAAAACGGCCATAACTCTTCACTAATACGCTACGGGAACGAACGCTTCTAGGGTTTTCTTAGTCTCACTGAGGCCTACCTGTAGCCAAAAGATGAAGCCGAAAGCTCGAAATCAGTTGGATATGTTCCCTCGTCAGTTGCATTGAATGGTACAGTCATTGAATCCATGCAATGATAAATTCCTCTTCTCTCGAAGTTCCATTCAAACGGACATAAGTGAAATCTCCTGGAAACTCAGTTGAATGCTTTCAAATATAATCACATAGTACTGATCTTAGTATAAAGAAAGGAAGAATCAGGTCGATGTTTCAGATGAGTAGCGTGGTGCAAACTGTTGGAACGGGGTACCTTGGGCTGGGTAGGGTTAGATTCCGTCGGGTGTGAGTTAGTTTACTGTGAGTCGGACGAACTCGTATACACATACGTCGCATCTTGCCAGGGGTGGGTGCCGTGAATGGCGGACAGGTTCGTCTAAAAACAAAATGGATCACGCCAAGTGGAGGTGGCGTGAAAAGCGGAAAAACTCGTCTTAACGTTCCGGTGTTACTGGATGTGGAGTCGCGTGTGGCTGTGGGGGTCGGTGGGTTTCGGCGTGTGTGGGGAGGGGTTCTGGTGCGGGTGTGGATTCAAAAAACCTACCTGCCGAATGCACTCGGCTTTCATTGGTAGCACTCACATCAACACTCACGTCCTCACCCACAATACACACTCTGGTTTCCCAGAAAACCCTGAGTTCACTGGTGTACCAGATATTCCTGAGTTCCCTGGTTTTCAAGTTATCCCTGAACTCCCTGGTTTCCCAGATATCCCTGAGCTCCTTGGTCTCCCAGATATCCTTGAGATCCCTGAGATCTCTATCCTAATTTAGATCTTTAGCGCGCGTTCAGTCTTATTGAAGTTTGAGTTCCCAATTCCCATTGAATTACCGAATCTGGGAACTTGGCCAGGTATTTTTCGCCGTCTTATAACTTCACCGACTTCAACTTCGCCGACTGATAATTTAACCGACTCCAACTTCGCCTACTGATAACTTCACCGACTTCAACTTCGGCGACTGATAATTTAACCGACTCCAACTTCGGCGACTGATAACTTCACCGACTCCAACTTCGCCTACTGATAACTTCACCGACTTCAACTTCGCCAACTGATAATTTAACCGACTCCAACTTCGGCGACTGATAACTTCACCGACTCCAACTTCGCCTACTGATAACTTAACCGACTTCAACTTCGGCGACTAATAATTTAACCGACTCCAGCTTCGGCGACTGATAACTTCACCGACTCCAATATCGCCGAGTGAAAATTTCACCGACCAAATTCGAAAACGAAAATTACTGAATCCGATATGAACTATTCTAGATGTAGAAGTTTACTCAACTGAATTAGTTTATTAGGCTAGGGATTGATTATCATCTGAGTTAGTAGCCATCTTAGTTGGTAACCATCTGGGTTGATAGCCATCTGAATTGGTAGCCAACTGAGTTGGTAGCCATGTGGGTAGGTAACCAAGCCAGTTGAACATGTTGCTTGCTTGAAAAACAGATGCCACCAGATGAAGGTTTCCTATCTTCTAATGTTTTAACAAAATATTGCTGGTGGTATTAGAAGTCCGACATATTGTTAAAACACCAGAAGAGAGAAAACCTTCATCTGGTGGCATCTGTTTATCAAGCAGGCAATATGTTCAACTGACTTGTTTACCTATCCACATGGCCACCAACTCAGTTGGATACCAACTCAGATGGCTACCAATCCAGATGGCTACCAACTCAGATGGCTATCAACCCATATGGTTACTAACTCAGACGATAATCAAGCATAACCAAATAAACTAATTAATTTGAGTGAACTTCTATGTCTAAAATCGTTCATATCTGATTCAGTAATTTTCGTTTTCGAATTTAGTCGGTGAAATTTTCAGTCGGCTATGTTGGAGTCGGTGAAAATCGTCGTCACCGAAAATCAAATTCGTCGAAAGTGGAATTGACCACTTTATTACCCACCTTCGAATAGACTGAATAAAATTATGTATATATATCTCGTTCTGTTCTCTAGAAATCAACATGGACTGCACAAAAACATTTGTTTTCTCTCTGCTCCCAAGAAACTATATTCCTTTATTCCTTTCGCTCTGTTATCTTCAAAGAAAAATTGACTAGACAGAAAGTTTTTTTTTTCTTCCTTCTCCAAACACTCTATTGTTCTGATTCTGTTTCGGTACGCCAATATCTACTACACACAATATTTGTTTTCAGTCTGCGCGTGACATTCTATTTCGATCTCGTTCTATTCTCTACACTCAAAAAAGAGATTAACAAACATCCAAAAAAGGTTTCGGAGATATTGAAGAGCATCGAAATGAGTTTTAAGTCAAAAAAACATATAAAAAATCTTCGCAATGCTTTTTTCTCTAAGAGTCATTACCGACTGCACAAAAACATTTTGTTGCTTTCTTCTCCTAACATTCTATGTTTATCTCATTCTGTTTTGTGTAAGTCAATACTAACTGCAAAAAAAAGTTTCTTCTTCGCTCGTACTAATTTATAGCTTCGCAATGACTGCACTGATTTCTTAGAAGACGATCCATCTGTCTAACATCTAGCTTAGATATGAGTAACTTACGATTTATGCGTGAGGTACGTCTTGTTTTTAAAGTGTTTAAAAGCCATAATCATCTAAGTTAATTATTAATATGGTAAATATTGACATAGGCTTTTTTTAATCAGATCAATATTTGATTATTGATATTCTACGCAACATCATAAAAATAATTATTCATAGCTTGCACTATCTTGCAGATGATTTTCGGAAACTTTAGCATATCTGTTCTAACTAGAAAATTTTTGTTCTATCTCTTGCTAATTATTTTTCATAATTTAACGATTGCCTTTCTTTTAATCCATAAGTTCATTCTGAATACATCCTCAGTCTGCTTTGTTTTGACTAACATTTTTCTTATTTTTTAGATTGATGAACGATCCAAACTTCTTCTAATATATTGAATACTTATCGTAAGTTTGATTTGACTTTTTTAAAGAAACGATTAATTGATAATAAATCATGTTTTTAATTAAAATACATTTGTTTTGATTTTAATTTTAGTGCATATGAAAAGCTGTGTGTATTTTAAATTTTAAAATATGAACAAATAGATCTAATTCGATCAAAATACGGTTTTCTTTTTCTTTTTCTTTTTTTGATGATAATCATTAGAAAATTCCTATTATTGAAGCAAAACTTTAATAATATAACAAAACAAATCCTTAAGATGGCAACAACAGATTTGAATAAAACGATGTCAATCAAGGAAAAATTTGAACGTGGAATATACTCATTGAAATCCGTACCGCGCATATTGGACATGGATGTTACGGGCATATATATAAACAAGAATGGACTTTATCCAAACGAAGTCGAATCACTGGAAGACATGGATTGGGAAAGAGATAAACTTTTAACACAAAAGCTTAAAGCAACTAGTTATGGTGATTGGCAATTTCATATTGGAATGATAAATACAAAGCATTTTGAAAATAGAGAAAAACTAGATGATATGTTTGTAAATAAAAGTGAACGAACTATTTCAGAAGCCTGCAAAAATACTGAACGAATCTCTATTCAAAAAGCTATTGAATTATTCGGTATTGAATTTTCATGTGATATGGATTGGTATTTGAAGAATCAAAATGCAATTGAAGAGGATTTAAATCGTAAACTTTTATCTTTGGATTTAAATGATGAATATTTAATGAAAAAATTAGAGCAAGAACTGTTTTATAATCAAATGTGTAAATTATTTGGCGGAACTGAAGATGATCATAATAAACCAAAAGATGATGATACAATTTATGAAAAATGTTTTATTGTAAAAGATTTTCATATATTACTATCGTATGGAAATTATATGTTTGCCAGTGCAAAACGAGGAAATTATTATCTACTATTTCGATATGTGTATTAGCTAAAAATGTTTGATTGCAACTTTTCTTTCAATAACTTTTATTGTAATATCTTAAGTTTAATTAAATAAACTACCATAATCTATATTTCCATCACTCTATAAAAAAACTGCATTTTAGTTTCAGTCAGCATCTGTCTCTTGAGAATGAGGGGGTACAATTAGAATCACGTTACTATTCGAAACCACAAAATGATATTGATATACATATAAGCCATTCAATAAAAGCCACAGCCGATTCTCTATGACAGCGCCCAATCCGTATTCTTCGATTTAACTCATTTCCATATATGTGATAGAGGCAAGCATGAGGGTGTGGGTGTGGCTGGGTGTTTCTCTTCTTCGCACACCCCCGCCCCCACCCACACACCCACACCTGCCCTCGCCCACACCCAGGCCCCGCCCCCACCCCCAACCCACCCCCACCCACCCCCCCGCCCCCGCC